ACATTGAAAGAACTTGAAAACTTCGCTTCAAGAAGACTAAAGAGAACTGCAAAAAGCCAACAAAGAGAAAACATTTTGACTTTATCAAAAATTTTACTTTGATGGATTGGAGCCTTATTCACTTCACAGTTTTATCATGTGCATAGAGAGATATTGTTACAAGATTTAACATTTTACAGCTATAACGTTGACCACAGTGATTCAAACAGCATATATTTAGTATGCATTTTTTAATTAGGCGTACAAAATTTCGCATTTTAAAGATTTGATATTGAGCACAGTGAAGCACATAGCGCATGCTTAGGTTGCATTTTTCAAGTAAGTTAAAATCTGACCTGACTGCCCATTTTAAAGATTGCCTAAAAAAAGCAAATCAGCGCACTGAATGATAAGTGGAAATGTACAGTGATCAATTAAGCTCCTAGAAGAGAACTAACATGTCCTTAATAGTTTGCTTTTTAAGAAACTTGTTTCCTTTTGAAATGTCTATTTAATAAATGGATATATCAAAACCAGTGCATGATGCTGCCAAAGTATAAGACTATCTGAATTAGCCGTCGAAAACTTAAAAAATCCAAAATTATTTTATAATTTTCGTTTAGTCTAAACATCTGAAAAGTCGAAGTTACTCTTTGTTTGCTCGAAAGGTTTTTTACCAGGTTCGCTGGTTTTCCTTCCATTTCGTTTCGCAAAAAATTTGTCCGTGATATTGGGCCGACAAATGATGACAATGATTCAGATGTTTTTGTGCTCAGATTCATTTTTATGGTTGAGAATTTTTGAATTTGCGCATTTCGAATTTAAGAGTTCGGCCTCTGGGTTAGAATCCCAAAACACCATAAATACAATTGGTATAAAATTGCAGAATGAGGTATTGGTTTGCAGATTTGTCGGTGCAAAATCTCGTCCATCGGGTGACATGTCGTTAGCAAACAGTTTTTCGATTTCAGTAATAGTTTGAAGACTTAGACAATTTACAGTTTAAGTATTAGTATACAAGAATCGACAAATCATCGAAAGTCTTGTAGGACAACCAATTACAAAAATATATGCATTCAATGAAAAAGCTTGCACTTTGAAGCCTTTTTTCTTGACTTGCAACTGTTCTCTTCGGATACATCGAATATAATGTTGCACACCCACTTCAGCGGTTGCGTACGCTAACACCACGGCTGACAATGATAAAGTATTCTTTGGTATTAGACGAACAGCATGGCTAAATTGCAATCGAAAAATTGAACAACTAAGATAAGTAATTCTGTTTCAACAATTCTGATGACGCACTGAAAAATCAAAAGTTTTCTACAGAAATTAATGATGCTGTGAAATTTATATGTTTATATATTGTGAAGTAAGATCATGGTAGCTTTGCATATTCTCCTTTTACTTGAAACCATCTTAAATTTGTTTCATGTTGATTTATATGTTATTTCTGTCATGATGATGTTATTATTGACATTGACAGAACAACTTAAGAAAATGCGACAACTCATCTATAATACACGATGAGCACTTAGATGAGCATGCTGCTCACCTATCTTGCATGATGAGCATTCATCATTCAATATATATATGAGCAGTACTCTTTAAGTATTTTATAATCAATACAGACATTCTTGCCCATTATCAATTGCAGGATTAATACTATATTGAAATGCAAGTACTGAATGTGTTGCACTGGCGTTTACTACGAAAGAAAAACGTAATATGTTTTCTGGTATTTATTAAAGTTTTCCCTTCTTATTTCAAATAGCAGAATGCGGTGCAATACTATTTGCTTCTACTAATGAATTTATTGAATCGAAAACACTTTCGTTGCTAAGAAACTATTGAAAACTTTGTAGCTAGCTAGCATGGCCGTGTAAATGATCAGAAAATTTTTGAATATATGTCATCTAAAAGTGCTGGTCGGAGTTGTTCATTGCAAGAGCTTTGAAGAAAGAACTATAGATGCAAAACTTAGTGATGAAATTTTGTTAGTTTTGTTAGCACAGAATTTTTTTTGGACTTACTGTGCAGGAAAACTAGAAAGTTTCATGTATACGTCGTTTGATTTTGTATACAGGAAACATTGCTTTTATCAATTTTATCGATTGTTACAAGACAAAAATTTCTTTCTGTTATGCTACAAGTGTTTATTACTTGTAGTACAACTTCTTTTGTGCAACTATCTACAATTGCTTTCAATGACACAAAACAACATATGAATTCTTCTTATTATACTTTGAAGGACTTTTAACTATGGCAAAATTCAGTTGCAAACAGAGAACATAGTATGTTATAACTCTTATTTAGGTTCTTAATTCTCTTGTGAAATATATGCCTTTCTCAAAACTTCAATTGGAAGTTTTAAAATGTAAAACTGTTCGATCCAAATTTATAACCTCCGCTGTGTGAAAAATTCTATTCCTCATTACACGTTGTCTACACAGCAAATTTAGTTACGAAATGTTTCTAAAAAAAAATGGTCTAGCGACTTTGTCATCTGATTTTTACCTTTTTCTGCATTTGCGTTGAATTGTTAAAGTTTGAAATAATGTTATCAATAAACATAAACGCAAATGTCTTCTGCCAATATTGTTTTAAAATGTTCTTTTCATTAGTAGAACTGTGCGTTTTAATATGCGGTTTGCGTGACACTCGGCAGGTGAAACAAGCCATTATTTACCACGTCAACACAAGTCAAAATTGCAATGAAAATGTCCATATTGAGATGATATAAGAAGCATATAAATGTTGAGTGAATGTTTTGAACAGGGGAGTATGGTTGAATGTCTTTAGATGTAGATCACGCAGATTAGCTGAGTCTTGAGAAGTCAATATCAACACAAACAGTAGCTACTTCTCAGGATTCTATTAACCTAGACGTTCTGCTTGTACAAGCTTATAAACTTTGACTTAACTAAAGAGTTTTTTCACAATTCAACAAATAATTATAAACAGATAAAAATGCAAAGAAATTTGTTTAAGTTGTGCACTATCCTAGCTCAAGCTCCGTGCACACAGTTGCTATTGATTAGAGGAAAGATGAATTGGTAATTTTGTTAATACAGTTGTGTTTAACTTTGTATCAGATAACCCAAAGTGGAGTAGTTATAAAACGCAGTTTTGAAAATAAGGTTGTAGCCTATCTTAAACTCTTTTCTATTAAACTGGTTATTTATGTAATGAACGTAGATGTATCCTATCTGTATATTTCTTAGAAAGAGAATCAAATAATGTCTGAAAAAGCCTAATAGAAGTTTAGATTCAAAGAAATGGATAAAATGAAAGCTGTTGTTTCTTTCCATTGTTTTTTTAAACAACATGTGCAAACAATTATGACAAATGTCAAGCATCAGTAAAAACAGAGTAGCTAAATGATGTAACTTTTTCTAAAATTGTGAAATGGTCTATTTTTCAAGTGTTATATTTAACTTAAACTTGTACTTGTTCATCCTATCGATCGATGCTAGTGCTCACATCTTTGAGTACATAATGCTGGAAAATATTCATCTAAATTAAGAATTCTCGAACTACTTGTTAATACGTGTTCAATTTCTTATTTCAGGTAATGTAGGAGACCTCCCATTTTGATAAAGTGTACTACTATATAGATCTAAGCTGTGTAATATTCGCGGTATAGTGTATGTCGAACTTTTAAGGTCTGCATGTCGAAGCTTCAAAAAAGTCTTGAGGAATGGCACAAAATTTAGGTAAAGTTACTCATGAAAATTTAATGAGCAGCGTCATGGAAATGCCACCAATAAAGAAATTGTCGACTTTTTCAATGAGCAACTTGTTTCTTTATGCAGCTTATAGCCTTATTGAATTTTGTCCTTCTTGTGTTACAAAAGGAATTCTTTCTCAAGCTTAAGACAAACATATTTTTGCGCGCACGAAACTAATGGGGCATTCTTTTTACTGAGATAATGGCTTATATAATTCTAAATTTTGTCGAGTTTGACAACATGTCTAACAGAATTGTAAGTTATAGGTGCATGGTCAGAACGTCAGAAAATGCTAGAAGCAACAATCTAAATTTCTCTCATTATCATTTAAACATGAATATAGATAGATAATAAATTCTTACATAACTAGTCGCATCAATGGTGAAATTCCAATAATTTGATAAGTTACTTTGAGCTTTAAGCATGTACTTGTTCTTGGTTCATGTTGATTTTCCTAAATGAATGCAAAAGATAGCAAAGTAAATAGAAAATGTGGAATGAGTCTCTATATGATGAAGTAAAGCTTGTAGAAATATAATATAACAAGCACTTTCAGGGAGTTACAGCTTATTTATACATTTATTATTCATGACAATACACGTGATAAAACTTTCAAGGTGGTACAGCTGTCATTTTAGTACTGGTATCAGCGACATCGATCTAGTTATAGATAACAGGTAAATGCTTTGTATTAAATGATATTTTGTATTTTTATACTAGTGAAGTACAAAATAGGTACGCATTGCGTGCATGTGCGCGTAGCACAATTCAAGTGATGTATGTTTAACGTTTAACATTTAACCATTGAGCGCTTATTCAAAAGCCTTTTTAACAATTTTTGGCTAAATCTTATGTGTTCAGCAATATAACTTTCAAAAGTTTTGTAAAGAATAAATTTTACGTCCTTCACAATGTCAATTAAAAATGGAATGCATGTTTTCTTTCGTATAAACAGAATACATACAACTTTGACAATATTGCGACACTGTATCACTGTTTTTACATCAAAGAGTTGTGTAGTTTTGTTGTTACTATCTTAAAGTGCCCCTGTCAAAAAAATGAAACTCACATATATGAATCTTTGTAATACGTACATGCGTTATTTGAAAATCGAATTTCGATTCTGAATTTAGTGCAGAAATTATAGTCATTTGAACATAGAATTTTGAGAAGTAAAAATTCGAAAACCGCGCATAAGAGATTGGTACCAAATCAGTCTAGTGACGTCACAGTAGGATCCGGTCAGGCCTATTGATCCACGAAAACATTAGAGCGTGTATTCTCGAAGTGTTCTTGTACTGTAGTTGGCGGCCCGAAAAAGTCACGCAAAATAGAAAATGCCAAATAGATGTATTGTGGCTTGTTGCTCTAATGTCTCTAATGTAAAAAAAGGAGTCTCGCTTCATTTCATACCGTTTTCCGGAGATGAAAGGCCAGAAGCCAAAATAAGACGTAAACAATGGATTGATTTCGTACGGTTGAAACGGGCAAAATGGGATCCAACACCTAATTCCAGTATTTGCTCAGCACATTTCGCAAAAGAAGATTTTTCGCAAATGTTTTCTGGTCTGTCGGCTAAAGTACCTAGATTAGCTACCGATGAGATTGGCGTCGTGGCAGTCCCTAAATATAATATTGCAGCTGAATGTCCCCCGTCAGCAAGAGCCAAGAGAAGGGTAAGTTTATTCATTCCATTTCAAGAGATTAACGCACGCTTTTTAAAACATGGTAAATACAGTAAAATACACATGAACCTATTTTGAGAATCACTGTTTTGTACATAAATTTGTTGACATTTTCGAAAGGTTTTAAAGGAAGCATTGTCCACAAGTTTGTCTCGACCAGGAGAATCAGAAGAAGAGCCAGAGGATTTCGAACACTGCGTGCCAATGGAATTAAATGTGGATGAAGAGATACCAAGCGATGTTCCTTGCAGCAAAGTATATAGTATATACCTTTATTCCTGCTAGTATAGTGCGATCTTACAATTTGACTTGCCATTCGTGAGCTTTTCTGTCAAAACATATGTTGACCCCTACTGACATTATGCATACATTTTGAGAAAGACTTTTTTCTTTTAGACAAACAGCGCTTTGACTCAGACAGATGGTTGTGTTGGTTGTGCGTACCTACTGAAAGAGAAAAGGAAAACATGGAACAAATATGTAGCTCTGAAAGCAAAATACGATGAATTAGTGAAAGCCAAACGTTCTAAAGGTATCGTGTTTGGCTCATAAGTACTGCACACGTTTCGTGTTTTCACTACAGGGGAAACCCGTATAATATTTCCGGCATTTATCAGCCGTGGTGCCGGTTATTATAGCTGTTGTAGAACTTCATATAAGTCATGCTATAATGATCAACTATGTCATGTGATGATGATATATTCTGTTCTGTTCGTACTGCTTTTTTGCGCACACGCTGTTGTTGTTAACTATAATAAATATATCCAAATCAATCAACGGATGTTTTCATTCTTTACCTAAATATTCTTAACGCCTAAGTACGATTAGGTAAACCGAATGAATGTGTATAAAATATATATGGGGCCACAAGTTTTTCACACTTGTTGTGTCACGTGTTACCCTCTTTTAATAAAGTTTAATCAATCAATCAATCAATCAATTTAATGAAATTTTTGTGTTAAACATGGCTGATGTAAACACGTTGAAATTCGCGAAACTGAATGGGTCGAATTACCGCTCTTGGTCCTTCAACATGCGCTTATATTTGGAGAGTCATGATTTGTTTGAGCATACAGATGGAACGGCTGAAACTCCAACGGAAGATGCTGATGCAGAAGGGCGACGAAAATTCGTTTCAAGTGCGAAGAAAGCCTGGACATATATATGTTTAGCCATAGAACCCGAATACCAGATTCATGTTAGAGATACAAACACAGCCAAGGAAGCTTGGGATGCCCTGAAAAGGCAGTTTGCTCGTGAATCATTGCTGCAAAAGTACGCTTAAGACAACAATACTACTCGCTTCGTTTTCATCCAGGTAATGATATGATGGAACATGTAAGTCAGTTAAAATCTTTGCACGATCAACTGAAAGAAATGAATGTGTCGATCGATGATAAGGAACTGGCCATGACATTGCTTGCCAGCTTGCCGGAAGAGTTTAAACCCCTGATTACGGCACTAGATGCAGTGGGTGATGAGAATCTATCATATGATAAGGTGAAAAATATGTTATTGAACGATGTTGAAAGAAGTGTGAATACAAAAGCTAAAGAGAATGCATATACAGTACGGGGAAAATATATGAAAGGCAAAAGCAACAATAATGAGAAAAATGGTATGGTATTTCGTGGAAAATGTCATAATTGCAAAGAAGTTGGGCACATCGCCCGTGATTATCCAAACGGAATATGAAAAGTGGTGGGAACACCTTCCATCAAAAGGAAAAGAAGAATTCAGCTTGGTATGCACAGAAAGAAGATGCTTTGACTAATGAAGAGAAAGCATTGGTAGCTACTGATCTGCTGAATAAATCAGTATGGATTATTGACTCGGGAGCAACACAACACATGACCACTGAGAAAGATCGCTTAACAGAATACATAGCATTTGACAAACCAAGTATTGTTCATCTAGGAGACAATCGGTCAATACTGGCATTTGGTCAAGGTACTTATCATATTGTGTGTGATCTGGGAAATCGTAATCAAGCAATAGCTCTACATGATGTTCTATATCTACCTGATCTTGATAAAACTTACTCTGTTCGAGCAATGATCAAATTAGGTGCAACAGTGGAATTCAAAGGCAAGAGGTGTGAAATTGCTAGAAATGGGAAGTTGCTAGCTGTTGGAAATCTTCTAAGTAAACTTTATTTGCTACAAACAAAAGAAGAAGATCATCATGTATACATTTCACAAAAACATTCTATGCTTGAACTATGGCATTATCGATATGGTCATTTAGGTATTGACAATATAAAAGAATTGATGAAAGGGGAAATGGTTTATGGAATAAGTAATGAAGACAAAAGTAAGGAACGTTCAATTTGTGAAAGTTGCATTATGGGAAAGCAACATAGAACTGAATATCCTAAAGGAGGTGGAAAGCGTGCAACTAATCTCATGGAATTGGTACATAGTGATGTCTGTGGACCAATATTGCTTAACTCATTTGGTGAATCACGGTATTTCGTAACTTTCATTGATGACTTTTCTCGTTACACGTACGTCTATTTTATCAAGAGAAAAAGTGAAGTTTTAGAAAAATTCCAAAAGTTCGTTAATCATGTCACCAACCTCACTGGCAAACCAGTTAAAGTGCTTCGTACCGACAATGGCGGTGAATATTGTTCAAAGGAATTCGAATCATATTTGAAACAAAAAGGAATTAGTCATCAGTTGACAGCTCCTTATAGTCCTGCACAAAACGGTGTCTCAGAAAGGATGAATAGGACACTTGTGGAATCTGCCACGTGTATGAGGCATCATGCAAGTCTACCAAGAGAATTTTGGGCTGAATCTGTCAGCACTGCCGCCTATCTTCGAAACCGAAGACCCAATAGCTCACTCAAAGGAATCACGCCTTATGAAGTCCTTTTTAATCAGAAGCCTAATGTGTCGCACTTGAAAGTATTTGGCTGCTTAGCATTTCTCCATATTCCAACCGAGAATCGTAGAAAATTTGAAGAAAAGAGCCGACGAGTTATTTTTGTTGGTTATCCTGCTGGAACCAAAGGTTATAAACTCTATGATCCATTATCAAAAAGATTTATCCGTGGAAGAGATGTTATGTTCGCTGAAAAGAAATTTTACGAATTTAGTAAGGATTCTTCTGCACAACCCAAATCTTTCTACTATCCCGAAGAAGATAAATCAATCGAAGTTCAAGAAAAACAACCTGAAAATGATGAAGGTGACCAAATTGTTGATGACATGAATGTCAATGAAAATGCGGTGCCTGGTCAACAAGTGGGAGAAAGTTATGAAGAACGTTTCTTGCGAGAGACTGAAAACTTGAATGCAAAAAGGATACGCAGACCTCCACGACGATTTGACGACGAGTGTTATATTGCTGATAACCTCACGGAAGATGTTGATGAGCCTTTAAACATAAAAGAAGCGTGGACAGGAGAACATGCAAATCAGTGGAAAAAGGCAACTGATTCTGAGTATGACTCTTTAATCAATAATGGAACATGGGAACTCGTTCCTCCACCAAACAACAAGAATATTGTGGGAAGTCGTTGGGTGTTCAAGGTGAAGCACAATTCTGATGGAACTGTCAACAGATTTAAAGCTCGTTTGGTTGCTCAGGGATATTCTCAATCCGAAGGGATAGACTACCAAGAAGTATTCTCACCTGTAGTTCGTAACACAACTATAAGATCACTGTTGGCTGTCGCTAATATCTATAATTGGGAGATTCATCAAATGGATGTCCATACAGCGTTCTTGCAAGGAGAATTGCAAGATGAAATATACATGAAACAACCTAATGGTTACGTTGACAAAGATAGACCTGAGTTCGTATGTAAGCTTAGGAAAAGTATTTATGGCCTCAAGCAGGCAGCTAGGTGCTGGAATACCTCTATTGACACCTATCTTACATCAAACGGATACAAGAAATCAACTGCAGATCCATGCGTCTATGTTAAGTCAGTAAAACAAAAAAGGAAAAGATTAACTTCGTGATAATGGCTATTTATGTTGACGACATGCTATGGTTTTCAAATAATTCAGAGATGCTAAAAAAGGAAAAAGATATGATTGCTGAAAGATTTAAAGTGGACGACTTAGGAGAAGTGAAATATGTTCTTGGAATGGTGATTGAACGAAACCGCAAGACAAGAACACTATCCATTAGTCAGCCAAAATATCTGGAAGGGATACTTAAGAGATTTGGGATGGACCAATGCAAACCTGTCACAACACCGATGGAGACTGGAATGAAATTTGAGTCATTGTCAAAAGATGAGACACCAGTGGAGACTCAAAGATATCAAATGGCAATTGGTTGTCTGACCTATGCAGCTACTGCTACTCGTCCCGATATTTCATCGGCAGTCGGAATTTTGTCGAAGTTTATGTCTCGACCGAGCGTAGTACATTGGCAAGGTGTAAAGAGAATCCTCCGGTATTTAAAGGGAACGTTGGATTATGGTTTGTTATTCACGGCTACTAGTTCAGATCCTGTGTTATCCGGATATTCTGATGCAGACTGGGAGGTGATATTGAGACCAGACGATCAACTTCCGGATATGTGTTTCAAATCCAAAATAATACTGTCAGTCGGAGAAGTAAGAGACAGACCTCAGTATCCAGATCAACCACTGAAGCCGAGTACATAGCCTTAAGTTTAGCAAGCCAAGAAATTGTTTGGTTGAGAAGATTGCTTTCAAACATTGGAACACAGCAAGATGAACCATCTATAGTTTTCGAAGACAATCAGGGAGCAATAGAACTTACAAAAAATCCTAAATTCCATAATCGAACCAAACATGTGGACGTAGCTTTTCATTTTGTCCGTGAACAAGTCAATCGTGATGTGATGTCTGTGGTATACTGTTCGACAGATAATATGTTAGCAGATATTATGACAAAAGCTCTACAAAGAAAAAGTTTTGAGAACTTTCGAGACATGTTGGGAGTCAAGAAAATTAAGTAATTCCCAAGTTAGAGACATTAATTGGATTAGTTAAAAAAAAAAAAAACAAAAACTTTTTATAGTATGATCATTAAGTGGGAATGTTGAAGAACTTCATATAAGTCATGCTATAATGATCAACTATGTCATGTGATGATGATATATTCTGTTCTGTTCGTACTGCTTTTTTGCGCACACGTTGTTGTTAACTATAATAAATATATCCAAATCAATCAATGGATGTTTTCATTCTTTACCTAAATATTCTTAACAATAGCTGTATTGCTAAACTCACGCGATAGAATTAAAAGAAGACATTTTATGTTAAATGATAACTTTATGAAACTTTTTTAAATTAACTTGTTCGATTTGTTTATTATTATGTAGGTGTTCAGTGCAATATACTGAATGACGAAGAGGTCATTCAGCACAGAGCTGAATCAGAAATGACGGCAGGCAACGACGTAAATGAAGAGTCTGAAGACAGCGAAGTTGAAATGGACACGGTTGCGGACGACGATTTTAAAATAGAAGACGAGGCTGAATCGGGAAGATCGGAATTTGATGAATTAGAAGATGAATGCAGAAGGTAAAATATTTGACTTGTTTGTAAATGCTATCTAATTGTGAATCATTCTATGTCTTGATGGCACCCGTATGACTCTATCTTCGTTTAGGAATACTAGAGAAAACATACGGAAGGAAGAAAAATACATTGTTTTCCAATCCCAGTTGATGTTACTGTTTAAATTTTGCCATGTTTGCAAGGCAGATAAGCCGCTCGTAGAAATGGTAACAGATGGTACACTAGTTGTTGTCAAAACAACCTGTGGAAACCCCGCGTGCGATAAAAGGAATAAAATTGTTCGAAGAATTTGATAGTATTTCTTATTCTTACTTAAGAAAATGGTGCTTCCGACAATCTTTCTTCACTGGAAAAACTATCAAAGAAAGATTCTTGATAGATTACAGGCTCTGGAATCAATTACCATTTCTGGTGACGCACGACATGACAGGATGGGTCATAGTGCAAAATATGGTGCTTACACAATATTTTGTTGTACTTCAGCTGAAATAATCGATTTTAGTTTGATCCAGGTATAAACAAATTTTAAAATTCAACCTCAAGCAATGTGACTATCATTCAAAGGTTATGCTGATTGTGTCTCTTCCTTAATTGTAGAGAAATGAGGTTGGAAGCAGCACAGGAATGGAATTCAAAGGTTTTCAGAAGTGTTTGAATTTTTTGTTGGATGATGGTCTGAACATTTCCACAATGGTGTCAGACAGGCATCAAACCATTGCTAAATACATGAGAGAGAAACAACCAAGAATTACCCACTATTTTGACCTATGGCACTTGAAAAAAAGTAAGTTGTTGTTAAATGAATGCAAATCAAGTTTCTATCAGTATCCGATACACATATAGCATATCGACAGAATCAACCCAAAGTATTAAACAGTTTTCACATACTTTTATTACAAGAGTTACACAAGGTATTGAACAAACTTGCAAAAGAGGCAGATTGTGAAGAACTGGCCGAATGGGTAAAGCCATGCATTAATCATTTTTATTGGAGTGCTACATCAACACATTCAGGAAATGGTATGGTTATACTTGCAAAATTCAAGTCATTCCTGAGTCATGTCATTGACAAGCATGATGGATTAGATGATCCATTGTATGATAAATGTGCTCATGGTGAACTGACTCCAAGAAAGTGGATTCTTCCTGGTATGTGTTGGTTGATTTCATTGTTTACAGCTTCATTTAAATTGACCTGTCCATTTTGTTCCAAAAAACCCCTGCACTATTACTTTAGAGAAAGCTTATTTTTTACATTCACTTAGATTCTCCAGCTTACATAAAGCTAAGAGATGCAATGCTTAACCAGTCCTTTGTAAAGGGCATTAAGCAAGCTTCTCCTTTGAGCAAACTAGTTGTTTGGAAGGATTCCACTCAACCATAAACCAGTTCTCACCAAAGATGAATGCATATTCATTTTCTGGTATATATTGCAGGTAGGTTATTATGTCAAAACAACAAATGTTGATTGTCAGTGGTTTGCTAATTTTCTAAGACACATCTACCTCATATTAGGCACATCCTAGCTGCTATTCACTTTAATGCAAATTTGTCCCGCAAAACAAAATTAAATAAAGATGGCACCCCAATGATCAAGATATCATATCCAAAGTTTAAAGGGGGTGAAGCCACAGTTCGAGATATAAAAGAAAAACAAAACTTTGGTAAGTAATGTTATAGTGGCATGAATGTCAAATGTTCAAATTTTTCTAGCAAGAGTGAATTTTTTCTTGCAATGATTTCAATAAATATGACATTATGTTAGATTATGTTGATGAGATCTACCAGACATATGTGAGAGCATCTCAAAATGGCAGTCTTAAGATAGCTTATGAACAGCTGAATAAGATGGCACCTGCTCCCATGAACACCATGCTTGAAAAAGAGAGAAGAGAAATAGCTGTGATGAAGAGAAATGCCAGAAAACCATTGTTGTTGAAGATATGCCTCCAACAACACCAGGTGCATAATAATAATCTAAAATTAAGTTAATCTTATCCTTCTTTTTTTCTTCAATGTGTATGTAACACCAAACTCTTTCGTCATTTGGATTAATATCTTCTTGATTGACTTATCGTATAATGAAATTTTAGTTTCAGTAGTCCTTACTCAAGAAAAGGCGGCAAAGGGTGGCAAATCATCTGCCAACAGAGCAAAACCAAGGTGTTCTGTCTGCAGAAATTTAATGGCAGGACATAGCAAAATAAAGGACTGTCCCAAAAACAAGAGAGTCAGATTAGATGCAACAGAGTGACAACAGAGTTAGAACAAACGAGATTATAACAAGATCAAACAATCATATTACATAATCAAACAATCATATTACATATAAATATAGTTTTTGTTATAATTTGACGTTAATCCCACAAACCCTAAATACAACAGTTGAAAATTTTCAAGAGATTTCCTCTTCCACAAATCCTACAAAATCGTCATTGTCAGCTGGTTGGAACTGCCGTCTTATTTTGTCATATGCACATGCCGGTAAGGGATACCTTTTATTTCCGATATGTCCAAAAACTAACCACATAAAACTTCTATAAGACGTACTTCGAAAAAATCTACAAATTAAAAATGCAATTAATACATTGAAGTGGCCAAAAAACAGGTGGTATTTTAGTTTATATATAACTCTTTTTTGAATTGTAGTGTATGATTGTATCTTAATATTTTTAGAGTTAAGAATATGAACAGAAACGATTACAGAAACATAAATGACACATTGTCTTTCTCTCAAAGTAATAATGCACTTACTTATCTTCTGTGCTTGTTTGACGGTACTCCTGCTTTTCTTAGTACGTAACTTTGCAGCTGCTAGACGAAGTGACCACTTGTCTAAGCACAGGCTATGAAAACCAGGATGGTTGACAATGCAAGTCGGAGGATTCTCAGTGTTGAGCTCTTGCAAAACGAGTTCGCTATTCAGTGCTTGTTCGCACTCTTCTATTTCCGTGCAACACTGACACTCTTTAACATTGTGAAGAAGCTCAACTCGACAATTGCCACATTTACACCTTAAAACGTTATTTTCAAAACTTAATAAAGAAGCTCTGTACTGTAAATTTCATTTAAAAGAAATCCCGATGAATTATATTACAAAGCCATCAAATAATTACCATTGGTCATATTTCTCTTCGCCGTCAAGTCTACGTTGAAGTTCTTTCAAACGGTCATCATATTTTGTTTTCTTCCACGGTAGTTAGAAAGCCATTCTTCATCAGCAACTGGTTCATTGCTGTATGGGCCAACGTCTGCGTTGTCATCTGTGCTTTTGTCGTCTTTAGTAGCGGACGCTTCACTTGTCTTTTTTATATCGAATATCCCGGGATAATAATTCCAATCAGAGTCGTCTGTTTGGTAGCTAGTACTTTCCGTGTCTGAGTTCGATGAGGACATTATTAGAAAAATTGAGCGAGTTTTGATTGTAAATATCGACCTTTGTACAATAATTTTTACTATTTGTAAACAAGCTGAGATGCGAACCGGTTCCTACTGTGACGTATTAGTTACCAGGTTTCCGACTTCGCGATTTTAAAAAACTTTTGCCGTTAAAATTTGAAAATTTTGCAATTCATACCGCAATAACTCGGCAAAAATCGTTTTAATTTAATTCTGATTTCCATTTTCATTATGTACATATCACAAAGATTCATATGTGTGAGTTTCATTTTTTTGACAGGGGCACTTTAATAACATTTTTGATAGGACTATATTCTGTTCCAATTGCGATTAACGCATGTTTAAACTTTGAATGCGTTAATCTTTGTTGTAGTGTTTGAAAAAGAATTGAAAATAATTGACTATTTTGTCGTTGTTTACAATTACCCGAACTCTTTTCCCAAGAGAGTTTTTGCCGAAAACAATTACCGTCGTTTCATTCGTGTGAAATTTCTTTGAGAAAATTAGAGAGAGCTTTATGTGTAGCGTCTAATTAAGATGTGAAAGAATGTCATCGAGGCCTTGTTCTAGCTCTAAGTATATTCTATATCAAAACATATCCCCTTTAAGTTTATGGTTAAAGTAAACTGCAATTCACAATTTTACAATTCAAACTTCGTCTCGCAGTTTTCCTTTGTATTAATTATTATTTTTTCATTCCTTAAATTTTTGTGAAACACCAGAAAATACTTGGCAAATTAAAGAATTGTAAAGGTAAATGTTAAAACCAAAACATGCTCATCGCGCACCGAAGACTTGTTGTTAAGATAAGCATTTCCTTTGGTTTATTTTGTCATGACAGATGCACTGGATACAAACTTTGGGGGTAACGGACTATTTTGCCTGACATAAAGGGCATTGCTCTAGAATTGCCGGACGAATCACTCTAATTTTCAAAAGTATTCTTGTTTTTCATTGTGATAAGGGGCAACATTTTCCGGTTGCCCCTTATCACAATGACCCGATCAAGAGATGACTTTCTTAGAGATGACTTAATCTTCGCCAAAATTAAACCAATCAACGTGTGACATTTGTCTGAGCCTTGTAATAAACTTTTATATTTCCGTTATTTGTTGTATACACTATTCTAACAAAGGAAAACGCTTTTAACCTAATGTCAATTGCGTGTTGCAATGTTTTGAATGAAAAACATTTCAAGAAAAATTAAATGTCTCTTATTGTATAATTTAAAGAATAGAGATTTATTAAAAATGTTACTTATAATATTGGCCAAATTTCTTGGTTCGCCCCCAATATATTGTGTTCTTCAGAATTAAATAAAACATCGTATATGAATCTACGCAATATATGTGATGACGTAATGTTTGAGGAATAAAGTAGTTTACGAATGCAAATTTTTACAAGTAGATAAAATGCTGGTCTTATAAATCTTTTAAAGTGACCAGAAAAGTCTGATAAAGTGCACGAGCAACTTTGACTCCATGAAAGCAGAAATTGAAAATAATTTTAAATTTTTCTTAAGCCACAAGTGTCTGTATTTACCACATAAAATTTCTATGGTTTCACAGCAGGAAATTAAAATTAAAATTAAAATTAAATTGAAATTAAACGCCTAATATTCGCTGCCAATCAGGACTTGGGAAATAGCTACAATTAAATTTTTACATAAACGCACAAAAAGCCCCAGTTAGCAAATAACACTATCATTTGAGCATCCGTAGGAACGAAAAACAGACTAAGGTAATGAAATTATTTTTATGACGTATTTATAAAAACGTTTATCCTTTTGATGACAGCTAAAGCTTTACTGCATATACTATTTGTACACTTATGTAGCTACGTTAAAATTTTTATGTAACTAATTTTGTCGCTACTACGTACAAGATTTATACTCTATATTAGTTGAGGAAGTGTTTTATGGTAGTAGTAGCTAGAAAAGCCGTGTCTACAGCATTTCAGAGAGCTCTAGGGAAGCTTTTCTTGTATCGTATTTTTTTGTTATCTCAATAAAAAATTCCCTCCCGAAAAAAATTCTAGAAAATTAAACATTTTACTCTATTTTCCGACTTGTTATCTAAAACCATTCGTCGTTAAAAACATTTTCACTTGTAATAATTAAAGTACAATTTGGATAAAAATAAAAAAGAACGCATTGGTTTCGTAAGCTCAGCTCTTCCTGAGGTACAGGACTACAAAAATTTGTAGAAACAAAGTTTGCCTTAAGAGTTCTTCTCAGTTCCACAATATAAGCCAACATTTCTTTTTCTATTAGCACTTTTACAAATCATTATTTCAAAATGTTTTCTTGTCTATTTTATATTACGCAAGTCACAATCGTTTGTATCTTATTGCTTAGCAACAAAGTATTGACAACTGCTGTGATACGAATTACGCTCAATTCGTGCCATCGACAATTTTATTTTGAATTTTTTTTTTTCTTTGGCAATGTTATGTGAAAATTCACTTGTAAACTGCCAAAGTTGCCGACAGTGATTGTTAGTATTAAATTCAAGAAAATTTAGTGAATCAATAGTTTTATTTTTTCAAGTAGTTAGAGCAACATATAATATAATTGGTGCAAAAGTTATTGTAAAATATAGCGTGTCAAAAAAATAGTCCTAGGCTCCTAGCAGAGCATTTTGTATCGTTGAAAAGACCTTGTCATATAGTATATCTATTAAATTTTGAGAAACATCCAATGATAACGTCATAACGCTGCTCATGAAAACCCGCTGTAGAGCGTCATGGATATTGCATACTGTGTCGTGACTTTAATTTAATCTAAACGGGTCTCCATGTTGGTGTCTGTTTTCTTTAAATATCGTTTTGATAAAGCAGAAAATTCTAAAAAGCAGCAATGAAATTTCGAAAAACAAACATAAAACGTGTAGGTTTTCCAATTACCTCTTTGAGCCACACTTGCTGACAAAAATGGTGAAAGTAATTACAGTTCTGTTCAGTATTATTATATTTAACTGTGTATAG